CACCCATTGTGTGTAGGTGTGCGTGTGTCTTTGTGTGTGTGCGTAGACGTAAGCAGAATTCATTTGGAAACACACGCGTATAGACAAAGTACAGCAATGATAGCAATAAAGTTCGCAAGAGCACTCACCCTTGTGGAAAAACATGACCATTTTCGTGGGCTCAATGGACCTTGGTCTAAATGTCAATATTAGCTTAACTAAACCTGTCTGCAAAGGTCAATTTTGGCAAAGAGGGACCTGGTGGAACTGATGACCTCAAAATGTTTTGGTCAGACATTCGTGACGTGGAAGTGAGACACATATGTCGGAGTATTTACCTGATGATGACCTAATGATATATAAAAGCGTTAACAACACTGTCAAAACATCTTAATGGACCTTTAAAAAAAATTTGGAAAACATGTAATGTGCTTGTCAGGCCAGTATTTGGTCAAGTTAGCTGGTAATAGTAGCTTGTTCGCAAACTGTTGTTCCTGGTCTTCCGACACAATCTTTTGAACCCCCAGCTGCATCATATAGCTAAGCTTGCTAGCTGGGCATACGTCTCTCCAGGGGAAGTGGCAACTCACTTCATTTGTTGCCATGACAGAGTAAGAGAATGGCGGCAAAGTAAAGAAAGAGGTATTGATACATTGCAAATATGGGCTTGATTGGCTGCATTGCCTACCTGTTTAATTTAATGTTCATTAGCCGGCTAACTACTACCTTGGCTCTCTGCCTCCAAAGCGAAGCGCTTCTTCACCAGCAGTGCACACTCTCCACATCTATACGTCACACAAACTGAGCTCCCCATTAAATTCAGTATTCTAAGATTTATACTGACTCAAGACTTAAAATTCTAATTTGCTATTCGCTTTTTCACACCCACTCAAATCACAATTCGCACCTCTACCGATTGGTGCACAGCCCTAGTCTTGTGTAAACGCGGCTACTCAATAGCAGCATCATTTTTCATACACTCCCAGCAAAGTCTGTTATTTAATTTATTTATTTTTTACAGCCCCTGACCTCGCCACCCCCTACAACAACCACCTCAGCATGAAGCACTCCCTAATCCTCAGTCTGTCACCAGAGTCAGTGACAAATGTCCTTTTTCATACTACTACGTACGTTGTGTTGGACTGGGGTCCTTTGTTTACAATTCCTTTTGGATAAGTCTGTTTCTCACTTTCATTGAGAAGGCATTTTCTCTTCCAACGCACAAAACAGGGTCCATAAGATCATGTTTGGATGAGGTTGGTGTGGAGGCAACAGGTCCATAAAATACCTTTAGATGGACGAGAGCAAAGATTGGAGCAGAGCCAGCAGCTCAGCAGCCCCATCAGTGGCTCCTGACCTTGTTACAGGAGCAAAACTCCCAAAGACACACTCTAATATCTTGTGGAAAATCGTTCAAGGGCAGTGGCAGCAGATATAAATGCGAGGGGCAGGGGGCAATTTGACATTTTTGTCCAGTTTTACTTCTTATGGTAGGAATGTCTCCTTATACTTTCCTCTACATAGTGTATTTGAGACACACATTTGCCAACTTGGGGTTCCCATTCTCAAGACATTTTCCCGAGGCCTTCTTCCTTGGTGGGCCGCCTGCCAGCCTCCCAATTTAATTTTATTACGTAAAGCCAGAGGGCATGACAAGCACTGCATACATAAACTTATTGTCAGTCTCAAAGTGGGAGAAAGTACGCCTTTGTGTTTGCGGACCTGGCGTCCCATTTATGGATAGGGTCGAGACGCCAACCACAACAAGCACATTTGGATACACACATCTGGCAATTTGTCAAACATAGACATATTTTTATTGCCAAGGTTGGAGCCAGAGCCGTTCAACTCATCCTGACAGGGAGAGACTCCTCCACACGCAACCCTCGATTGACCCCGGCTTGGGATTTCAGCGACTCCCCCACTCGCTATGTCGCCACAGAACTGGCAAGAAGGGCGAAGGAAAAAGGCGATTTCACAACTTGTATGACATGAAATCTCCAAAGTTTAAACCCGCGCAACAAGACTCGTTTGTTGAATCCTTTTCACTTTTCATCCAAATGGCTTCTACAGATCTTAAATTTCTAAGCGTAAAGTCTGGTCGCCAGTCAGTCTCAGGGAACACAGAAGACAGATGACCATTCACACTTAGATTCATACTGTCACTGAGTGGCAACTGAATAGATGTTGCCTCGACCCAAGTTAGGCGAATGTATCACTATACTCCTTCAGTGAGCCTATATAGAAGCCTGAGAACGTAAACATTTTCAAACGGGTCTCAAACAGAAAGCACCATGAAAACGAGTGTCTTTAAAAACAACCAAACAAGTGTTCGGTGTAGATATATCGCAACTAAAACAGCAATGATGGACCATGCTGTGTTTGTGCTGCTCAATATATGTATTACTTCCCTTCATCAAAGTGCAGATTTCCTTTGCAGTTACTGAAGCCAACACTACTATATTACTTAGATCAGACATGGGCAAAGTGCGGCCCGGGGGCCAATTCCCACCCGTCCACAGTCTCTGGCCCTCACAGTGACCATGATGTCAAAGTAATACGATTTTGAAAGTTGTGCTCTTTATGTGCATCTGTGCGGACGTGAGCGACAACGAGTTAGTGGGTAAGAGCTGCGATACATTTTTGCTATATTTAGATACTTTTCTGTCCCCTCTAGCAAGAATTTTTCCTAAAAAGAGACTTGAAGAAATGACAACAACAGTCCTACTGCAAGCAACATTCTTATTTCGTGCATGATGAAAGGAAGAGGTCCAGCCTGATGACATCATATGCAAAGCTACGGTTTCATATACTGTACATAGTGGCTGTATTATAAGTCATCACTGAATTATTACACATGATTGTAAATAAAATTATACTTCCCACTCATCATGGTAGGGAAAGGTAGGGTCTGAAAATGGCTGGCAGTGAATCGGTTCAAACTAATATTGACAAGGTTGAGGTTTGCATGTTGGCTTGCCTCGGCAAGCCTTCTAATTTTTCATGTAGCCCCTTTGCAAAAATTGCCCACCCCTGACTTCTATTCATAATTGGACTGAAATTTTCAGGAATATGCATCGAAAGTAGCACAAAATTTCGGAGCAAATAAGCAGAATTGCATTAAAAGAAGTGACATTTCATCTTCACTTGTTATCAAAGTTCAGCTGTGACTGTTTTTTTCATTTTACATTGACAGTTGTTAACTTCTTGTAACTCAATGTGAGAGTTAAGTATAACTACTCGGTAGACGTTTTATGATGGTCCTGTAATAGATTATTTCTCTTTCCATGACTTCCTTTCGGGACATTGACTTGGAAATCTCAACAAGAAAAAATTTGGAATGAATTGTGTTTGACTTTAGTGGGTCACTTGCTATAAGGACAGTATATTAAAAAGATGTATTGCAAAGCCGGTATTGGCTCCACTATGTGCACATGCGTGGACACTCTGACAACTACTCCCCTGGCATGCATATTAAAGTTCATTTTTTTATGGTCCATTCACATAGTACGAGACTATTGCTGTCCAAAAATAAAACTTTTTCAAAAATCTCCAGGAAAAAAAATTACTTGCTGTCGTACAAACATACCCTCATCTGCTCACTTACTCTGGAGTAAATTCTCTAGTAAGCCTCTTTGTTTCATCTCCCTCCTCAGGCAGAGTTTCACGCTGCATTAAAAGTTCAATCATCAATAAGATGACGTCTCCTCATCCTTAATGAGGTGAAGAGAGATGATGGGGAGGCCAGACAGAGTGTGTGTGTGTGTGTGTGTGGGGGGGGGGGGTCTGGGGGGGGGGCGAATTAAAAAGCCCTGCCGAATGACATCAGCCTATGAGGTCGTAAGGAGGTGGAGGGAGTGGGGAGACATTGCAGCAAGGCAAGTTTCACGTCCTAAATCATCAAATCTTCTCAGGCAGACGTATAGCAACGCTTTTAAAGAGACAGGCAGGACCAGGAGATGAGTAGTGGGATGATGGTGGGATACTGGGGGTGGAGAGGCTTCCGCCTCATGTCTGGGTATTCAGAGAAGCACGAGGAAAGTGAAATTTAGCTGTTGGACACTTTCAAGCAGGAAGTCAGATTATTCCTGAGTGTAACATTTTGGCGGCAAATGATGATTACAATTGCAGGAGTTTACATCCAAGGCTCATTGAACTTAACTACCAGAGCAGCACACCCAAAAAAAAAGCATCAGTCAGCAAATCTGTGAAGCCATTCTTTCCTATTTGCCATTTGCAACACCTAATAAAAAAATGAGACCTGAAAGTGTCAGACCACGGAGTCTCTCTATAAGGTTTTACACAATCAGAATTTTGGAGCTGATTACCTATCAGTGAGTTAAAAAGAAAAGATCGCCGATCACTGATTTGATCAGAACATGGACCAATCTATTTAAACAACTGGTTTATTTACTGTACAGTCCGGCCCACTACAGCCCAGCCCACGAATAGCCAAAACACCCGAAATGTGTGTGCCAAACACATTACTTAAAAACATTGGATTTTTTTTTTTTTTAATTCATGTATACGCTGAAAAACCTTCGATTACTAACAACGTCAGCACGCATCGTCCCTGGAGTGAATAAGACTGTTTGCTTTAAGGTCATTTTTTTGCAGATCCGATCAATGTTGTCGTTGATCAATCTGCAAATTATGGCAGTACACCGATAACCCATTTTGCATGAAATAATTCCAAATGTCTGCCAATCCTGTCCAACCCATCACATTTGTGTAAAGTCCACTCTCTTACTATACAAAGTTGGAAGAATTCCAACAGAGGGATCAGCTGAGCTGGACAGCATCACAACCAGGATCAGTGTACACACTTAACAGGATTCTATTAAGATGAAAGTGGAACTATGAGGGAACAATGGGTTAGCAAAATGGATTAAATTGAGGTTATTTCATTGTTTTAACGGGGGAGACAAAATCTGGGGTCATAGTAACCATTAAGACCATAAATATACTAAAAGGTAGATGCTAAAGAAAAAAAAATGTGTTGTGATCTTTTGTGAACTCACCCGGCAGAATCAGCCAAATAAAAGTCGACCGCGTATCCAAAGTAACTACCGTTGTCTCCGCTGTAAACCGTCGGGTTGTCCACGTCCAGGTTGAAGGCTCCGCATCCAGTAGGAGGAGCGAGCAGAACCCCGGCGAGGCACAGCAGCGAGCGGACCACGAGAGCGTCTCTCCCCGGTATCTTGGAGCGAACTCGCCCCAAGCACATTTTGACGGAAAGCGAGGCGGGGGGAAAGTGGCAAAAATTGTGAACGTCTTGCGCTCCTTAAGGAATTTGTGGGTTAAAGGAAAAAGAAAAAAAAACTACAACTGCATCCCCACGACTTGGATCGAAGCGAAACACTCGCACTCGAGTCGCGAACGCAGCGTCAGCTCTTGTGGGCGCTCCAAACTCACGCCTCTTCGTTACTGAGCTCCAAGACCCGCGCCTCCTTGGCTTCCTCTAATAATCAAACTTACAGCAGGGAGTTCCCACAGCCGGGAACCAAAAGTTTGGGAAGAGGGGGGGAAGGAGGAGCCTGTGATACCCTGCGAAAAGTTTTCACAGTTCATCCACTAATCTTCGTTTGCCTCTGTGTTCAGAATGTGATACCGTTCGCACTTTTGTGGCACATACCTATCGGGGATTTGACGATGATTAACCGGCTGGACAGTGCTCCTTTTGATCACCCTTTTAAACGCAAGGCTTTTTATCACAACACTTTATATTTCCCCACGTTCAATTGTACTGGTCAACAGCAAATTTTAATCAGAGATAACTTCACGTGTCCCTTTGATGTATTTTGGACGCTGATTAAAAAAAATAAATAATTGTTTTTTTTCTTGCACATACTAATAATAATAATAATAATAATAATAATAATAATAATAATAGGCAGCCCGGTGGGCCAGTGGTTAGCGTGTCAACCTCACAGTGCAGAAATACCGGGTTCGATTCCAGCTCCGGCCTCCCTGTGTGGAGTTAGCATGTTCTCCCCGGGCCTGCGTGGGTTTTCTCCGGGTACTCCGGTTTTCTCCCACATTCCAAAAACATGCATGGCAGGCTGATTAAACACTCAAAATTGTCCCTAGGTGTGGGTCTGAGCATGGATGGTTGTTCGTCTCTATGTGCCCTGCAATTGGTTGGCAACCGGTTCAGGGTGTCCCCTGCCTACTGCCCGAAGACAGCTGGGATAGGCTCCAGCAACCCCCACTACCCTTGTGAGGATAGAGCGGATTGGAAAATGAATGAATGAATGAATAATAATACTGTAATAATAATGGCCTGACAGGTTAATTGTACCTTCTGCCATCAAATAGAGTAGCAGGTAATTATTTGTCTCTATACCACACTGATACTCTTTGTAATCAGTGCATTTTTTTCCATTTTCAAAAAATTTGTAGGTGTCAGCATTTAGTTCAGTCTTAAAGGCTACGCTATGTGGCTGTTGTTAATACACAAGTGTAATTCTCTTTGTTTTATGTTTAGTTTGACAGGAAACTTAAAACAGCTTGAAGCCTTGTTTTCTAAGAATCGTTCACTGACAAATACTGTTTGTTGGGATATAAGTTGAGTTTTATGCCACCATAAAACGTTCGCATCTGAAAATGTTTTGCTCGCAAGCTAAAGCACAAAAGGTGCCTCAGAGCAATGGCTCAGATCTTGAAAAACTCTTAATAACATTCGCGTCTGAAAATGTTTTGCTCGCAAGTTAAAGCACAAAAGGCTCAGAGCAATGGCTCAGATCTTGAAAAACTCTTAAATCGGGTATTTCATATCTCAAGGAACCAGCATATCAGCAGTGTACATATTTATTGTTTGTTATTTCTCGAAACATAAGGACAATTCTATCCAAATCAACAAACTTCCCTTTTAATGCCCCAAATCGGGTTCCAAATGTACAATTTATAATCTGTGTGGAAGATATGAAGTCAGTCCATGTTTGTATGATGACCTCATTGGACAGAATTGGGACTGATGTTGTCTAATGGGGATTTGTGGAGGAGGGGGCAATGCTGGACTTCTGGTACTGACTCACACGCAAGACTGGAGGAACACTTTCGTGACGTTGGTAGAAACGACTCACCAGAGAGAGACCCTGAACACAGCGCCTGGAGTGAGTTACTGTTGCTTCAGCTGATTCACTGGACGCCTTCAGAGATACAACTGTTGGCCCAAATTTGGTCACGTGGTAGCAGCAATATGAACTCTCCTATCCATTATCGTATTTATAGGCGGAGCACTCCAACATGGGTAGCGAACTGAATGACGGCAGTAATCCGCCATGTCTGGAGGGCCTTTTCGCAGCTGCTGAGGTGGCCCCCTAAAGGGTCTAACCTTCCACGTCAAATGCTTTTCTCAATGAAAAATACAGACTGATTGATCAAGCTGAGCAACTGCTGCGGTTGAAAACATTCGATTACATGACAACAGCATTTCAAAGCCACAACACTCCAAATGTATGTGTGAATTTTTTTTTTGTAACATGTTTATTACAGACGTTCGTGGTTAGCACATCTGCCACACAGTCGAAAGGTTCTGGGTTCAGATTTCATCTCAGGGCCTCATGTGTACAGTTTGCATGTTTTCTCCATCTCCATTCCAAAAACCTGCGTTTTAGGTGAGTTGAAGATGGTCTTAGTGCTCTCATAACTATCATGTTATCCATCGGGATTTTTAAAAAGGTTTGTGGATAAACAATGTTTTAAATGCTCTAAAATGCTGTTTTGACATCTATTTTGTATTAACGACCTTTAATTCTAATGGTTTTTTCTGTTTCCTAAATAACATATAGGAGATTGAATGGTCCACCCATTTATTCTCTATATATCGTGTACTCATTAGGTTGAGTTGGATCTTATCGCAGGAGACCCGCGGTTAATCAATTGCACATATGGACAAACAATCGTTCTTATTCACATTTGCAACTATGAATGAGTTAGACCGCAATGAATGTTTTTGGAGCGTGGGAGGAACATCCAAACTCCACAGAGGAAAGCCAAAGCCCAAATCCCAGATTTGTGAAGCAGAAGTGATAACCAGTAGGAGCTTGGCTGCTCAAAAGTGAAAAATAAAAAGTTTTTAAAAGTACCCTTGTTGATGTTTTAACTCATGGTCTGAAGGTATCCCATCATCGCCTCTCCATTGTAAGCTTAGTCTAAACAAGCAGATTATTTTGTTTACGTTCCTAATTGTCTTTCTAAGTGGCTGTCTGCTACCTTACACCTCTTGTCTTCATACAGCTTTTACCTTTTTGACCTTTTAAAGGATAAGGACAAATACAGTGGTTGATGACAATCCGTTGCGGGATGTTGTCTCGCCACCGATTTTTATCATACTAAATGATGGAAATTCCAGGTTCAGTTGTCGCCATAAAAAACACGATCAACCCTGCAGACATGTTTTAAAGGAGCGATGTTATGAATATACTTTCAAAAATTAACCACAGTTCCCTGGTGTCCTAATAACATGCTTTTGGAAATGGCTACTGACTTCTGCATGCCACTTCAGTGTGGTTCTTTTGCTCTGGTACTTTATCCAACCTAGTTGCCAAGTCGCTGATGGAGAAACGTCGCTAAAACAACACATTTTCAGAACAAGGCACTACATTAACTTGCTCGTTTAATTTAACACTTGATGGTTGGGCAGGCACTCCGGAGACCCAAAACTTTATATACAAGCGATTTAAATATCCATTTTGAACATACAAACTCCACACAGAAAGGCCGGAGCCAGGGTTCACACCCTGTACCTCAGAACTGTGAGGCAGACGTGGTTACCACGATCCCACCGTGCTGCCTGTGTTGCCGTCAGTTCGGCGTAATAATTAGCTTTGACTAAGTGAGCAGTATTTTCCATCTCGCTCCAAGTGTGATGAAAAAAGGGGGCGTGGTTTTATTTCAGCGCCTCAGCTTTGGCATCACCGCTCGCCGCCATGGCAACACAGCTATAACACACACACACACGCACACTTGCAGAGCAATTCACACGACTCGACACAGCTGACAGAATGCTTTAAAAATAGGCCTGGCATATATATGTATCGGCAGTCATGTCAGGCACGTATTAACTGACTCTTGAAGTGTGAATGAATGTTCGCGATATAATGGGAGAGGTCAACATATTAATAGTTCAACAAGTAGGTTATATCTCCACAAGTGTGATATAAAAGTGTCACTTGACGACAACAATGAACGTGTCCAAACTAAAAGTTCAAGGTGGTTTCCACCAATCATTTTGTCGGCTGCTTTTTTCCGTGCAAGTACAAATACACCGATGGTTTTTGAATGATGTGTGATGAAAAATGGCTGCCGGGTTATGTGACGATAGTATTTCTGGGATTGTTCTTCAGAGTGTTAAAGCATAGGCTTTTTAAATTTTTTTTTTTTTTTTGAGTAGTGAATGTTTGCGGTCATACATGTGTGGTGTATGTGGATGGATGTATACTGTGTTAGATATGTATAGTATGTTAGTTGTTTGGGTGTATGTGAATGTGTATTTGGGGATATGTTATGTCACAATGTATACAGATATATCTTGTATGCCTAGATATGTCCAAAAGTTCAATTTCACCTTGACAACAGAATAGAAAGTGCCATTTTTCTGTTTTTAACACATTTTTTTCTCCCATTATTTAATGGAAATTAATGTAAGTAAGTTAAGAAAATAAGAAACAAAAAGATATATGGCTCGTCTCAAAGCGAAAGCTTTTTTAAAGCAATGGCATTTTTGTTTCTAACTGGGAAATTTGGAGGGGACAAAAAGTCCCAGTCAAATCAACAACAATGGCAGACAACAGACCTAGTGTACTTAATGCTTCTACCGAGAACATATTAGAAGGCAAATGCAGTTTTTCTAAGTAGTCACATGTAATACACAATCTGTTGTATTTCTTTCCTTCTGGAAGACCATTAAAAACACAAAACAAAAATGACTTTTCTGATCATTGGGGTTATGCTGCCATCATCCATCGTAGATAACGTTTTCAAGGATAGTCCACAGGTTCTTAGTAGGATTGAGGTCAGGAGATGATGGTGCCCATACCATGTGTTTTTCTCTCTCGATCCCAATAGCGGCCACAACTTCAATTGTCTTTTTTGCAGTGTGGGTTATCTTGAGAAATTATTTGACTGCATAAGGCTTAGTTGTTTTTATTTTACCATGGAGGGAAATGGTCAGTAAAATCATTTTGACACCTTCACCCACCCTAGAGGCTTACCATGTCATTTCCCTTTAATTCCACTCCAAAAGCTTAAGCCCTTTTCACATGGCTCAGTGGAAGAGTGGTCGTTTTCCAACCCAGCGGTTGGTGGTTTGATCCCCGGCCATTGCGACCATGTCAAAGTGTCCTTGAGCAAGATACAGAACCACCCCCATTGCTGCGCCATCAGTAGGTGAAAAGTCTTAAAGCGCTTTGAGTACCTGAGGTAGAAAAGCGCTATGAGAGACAGCCCATTTACCACGCTGTGC